TATATATATTTGTAAATATATATGTATATATGTATATATATATATATATGTATGTATGTAGAGGGGAAAATCTCGATCTTAGAAAATATGCGTTAAACAAAAATACACGAATCTCAATGGTTGGTCCAATAAGACTAGTCGATTATTTCTTTACAGCGCCGGGGAGTTTGAGACCTCGAGCTTTTATATGTTTTGCGAGTATAATAATAGAAATAATAATAATAATCAGTAATAAGAATAATAATAATCAGTGATCGTGCTATATAGATGATTACTGAGTGCGAACGCAGCGATAAAGTTTTCGTTGTTATAAACCTAGTTATTCGAATAAGATCGCTACAACAACGTCCCTCGTCTTCCCTCGCGTCCAATATAATGTTTATCTCTCTTTAACCGCTTAATTCTATCTTTAACTAACTGAGGTACGGCCAATCGAGCACCGATGCCATTCGTTTTGATGAGCCATGTTGAGAGAGGAAAAAATTCGGGAATGAGATGTGAGAAAGAGAGAGAAACAGGTTTCTCTGCACGCGGATGGGCGGAAACGAACGGCGTCGGCCGCTGAATTCGCCTATAACAATTGATACCTCCGAGAGATCATATGAAAGATTTATTAAGATACACTTATAACTTTACTTTTACAAACTAACACGCGCGCAAACGCGTACTATAAAAATTAAGAAAAAAAGAAAAACAGAACAAGGTGAGAGAAGAAAGAAATGCAATAAGAGGCGCAACTTCAGTTATAGTTGCGAAAATACGTTTAGATCGTGTCTCCGAGAGTTTTTTCTTTTTCACGGAAAGGGTGGAAAAGGATATATCATAGTATTCGTATGATTATTCTTTATAATAATCGGATATTTCATTAATAATTACGAGATCACAGTGACGCTTTGACGCGCGGGGATCTCGGATGGGCGGGCTGCATCTACTGCTGGTCCTTTTTTTTGTCAGATTTCGTGTTTGAACGTATTAAAAATTCCGAATGCACATGCATGCTCCAGACTGCTCTATTAAACGCAAGAAGATCCTCGAGAAGACCGCTTTTCTCGTGTTTTCCTACGTTGTTCTAAAAATGTGCCTAAATTAATCCTGTGTTAAGCTCTCGAGTAAGCGTATCAACAGCCTGCCCCCCACGATCCACAATAGTCACAGTTACAGCTTATTTCCCACCTTCGACCTACGTCCATCAATACCTCCATCAATCTCCGAAGGACCATCGTCTCCACTACCCTTAACACCACCTCTCCGTTATACTTTCTCCGGGCTCGCGCCCCTTCGAAATATACAATTCTCTCCATCAGGTTATCTCTCGAAACAGTAATATCCTCAACTATACCATTTAAAATATATATATTTTATATATATATATACATATATGTCTTCCATTATATATATACTTTTATATACGTTTATTTATATATCATTACTATACTCTCAATATGACTGACTACTACCTAAGTGCTTCTACAGAGCAATTAATTCTAGAAAACGAACAAAAAAAGGTAAAAAAAAGAAACATACCGGGAAAGAAACTTAGGTCATTACTGCGTTTACGGCCCCGAGAGAAGCGACTAATGTACATGCGCCGTGTTTTCTCACTTTCAATTTTCCTCCGACCCACACACATATATATATATATATATATATACACGCAATATATCTATATATATATATTGCGTGTATATATCCGCCCCCGAGCCATAAATGGCGGGGGCTCGCGAATTCGCTCTGCCTTTCCCTATCTACGAAGTAAAAGGATTAAATGGCCGCGACCTTTTTTAGGCCGTCTCGCGTCTCGTTTCACCGCGCTGCAGGAAAACAGGAATTTTCCCTTTGGTCGGAATGCAATGCAACAACCTCCACCGAGAAAGAGTTGCCCTCTTAGCTCGTGGTTTGGCTCCCGCGATACAATGACGAATACTAGCTATATCAAATATGTATACATGATAATCTTGTACCTTTGCGTGCTCTCTCCGTGAAAGGAGCAAGCTGCACAGAGGAAACCCGATCGAAGATTGGAAATTCTACCGACTGCGGGAAGCTAATCACCGTTGAATCTAGATAATCCTTCTCGCGACATTTGTTAATAGTTCTGATAGTTGAATCTGATGTTCGATTATTGGCACGAATATTATTTAAATTTTGATAATTTGATCAAATTTTGGCACGTTGATGTAGGAGGCGAAAGTTTTGAATAAATATAAAAAAGAATTTCGTCGATGTAAAATTGTGAATACAATTTAGTTAAATAATATTTAAATTCCATAAGAAAGAGTTTAATTTAAAACTTTGTAATTTAATATCTATTGGATATTTTAGTCACTTTTTAGTAGATATTTAAAAAATGCAGTCAATTATTTATTATGTATAAAAATTACGGATGAATTCGTTAAATGTGCACTTTTTTATGCATGATCATAATTCAATTTCTTCAAATAATAGTACGTATGCATTGTTTGATAATCTCGATATGTGCTAGATTCAACAGTGACCCGCGTTCCGCGGAACTGGATCTGAGTTCCTGATGATGAGAAATGGCTTGCGAAAACACGACAGAATGAAGCGTTATACGATGTGAAAATACGAAGACTCTACAATCCGCGCGTATTAAGATTAGAACAACGCATTAGCTTTCTCGCCGTGTATAACGCTCTTCTTACAGCGCGTACCAAATACTCGTATTCCCTTAAATACCTTTGTCTCAACGACACTAACTATTTTCCTGTTTAGAGATTACGTGTTATGGACACCGACATTATTGACTTTCCACAAAGCCGCTCCGTTTGGAAGCGTCTGGCGAGGATTTGCTTATCTCGAAATGGCAGTAATATATATATGTATTCCGCCCGCGCGTATATATATTTATCTCAAAACGCGGCCCTATTAGACGGTAGAAAAATCGGTATTGCCTACAAATAAATACTATAGATCTACACACTGGAATACTTCGACGGAATAACGTCACGATCATCCTAACAATAGGGAGACAAAGGAAAACGCAATAGACTTGCACTCGGGGAGAAGAGAAAGCGCGGCAGGGACGCAGGGACGACTGTACAGCAGCCTCGATAGTTTGGTCTCGATAGTTTAAAACCGAACGAGAAAGCCCAAAGATTGTTTTTCTACCCCCTCACTCGTTAGGCTAGCCCTTCTGCCGTTTCTACCTAGAACCCTAGAGAAATCGCAAAACGAGAAGGCTCGAGCCCGCTCGCCCGTGAAAATTGAGACTCTGGATCGTCGAGCGAACACAACATACGATTCTTACCAATATACACGCTAAGTTCGAGATCAGAGATTACGTTACGTTACGCACGTTACGTACTCGCGCACAACAGAACAGTGAAGAACTGTCGTCGATAAACATGAAATTGCGAAGCAGGGAAATGAAACGGAGGGGATCGCGTAGAAGATGGAGGATAGATGAGTTAGAGCCAGAGAATCGATAGACAGTTTTTGTCGATAGAAGAAAGAAGATAGAAACGGGAAAGAAGGAAAGAGAAGTATAGACAAGTTAGAAAGGGCACAGGGGAAAGAAGAAGGTATTCCTTCCGATGTGCCACGAAAGGCGTCTCGCATGTCACGAGGGCGCCTACTAATAGCTAAGCTACCGGAGATCATTTGAAAACTGTCCACGGGAGTCGCAGCTAGCCAATCAAGATGCTGCGATCCTCGGCCTATCGATTATCTACTTTAATTATTATAACATCGACTTATTACTGAGTTTTTATTACTTTAGATAAATCCTCTATGCATATACAAGTTTGCTCCCCTGTCTCCATCTTACGTCCTCGCTCGTCCCCTATCCTCTTAACATTTTTGGAATCGTCGTTATCCCTCTCGACGTCTCTTTATATACATATATTCCGCTCACGCACCGTAGACGTCTGGCGAGGCCGATCGATCGTAACTATGAATTGATTGTAATTCAGTTGAAACAGGTCCGTTGGTTAGGCTCGTGATATTGTCAAACGTATTAAAAAATCTTCGTTGTCTCGTTCCGAGGAAATTTACGATAAGCAAGCCTCGCGAAACATCGTCGTGGCGCGGCGTCGTTAAAAAAATCTTGGACAAGAATTGCTCCGTCGACCGCTACCGGTCGGGGAACCGCGTTATCTACAAGCCACATATCGAAAAGTAGTTTTTCTATACCTTGGCGAGATCAAGAGAGGGACGGACGCGCGAAGAGAAGACAGAGAATTGGGGGGCGTATGGTCCGCCCTCTCTCGCTCCCATATAATCACACTACTTTATTTAATTCTCTTTATTTATTCGTAATGAGATCATCATTTGATTATTGGGTTTAATCCTCTTTGGATCTCGTCCTTAGTTTCCCCCGTCACCCTTAATACCTCCCTCCTCGTGTCTCGGGTCCGATCGCCACATAATACGCAATTCTATTATTCTCGCCCGGGTTATCTTCCCTCTACCCCCTCCCCCCAAAAAAGCTCCCGTCCTTCGTCCTTCGCCTACGAATTCACAGGGCGAACTATCGGCACGAACAGATAGCTACGTACGAAAATAACTCCTGTATCGCGCGAGAATGCACTTGTACTTCGACGTCGCTGTTCCGCCGTTGCTAATCCTCGCTTCGTCATCCGCGGCAATCACAGTCACAATTTATCGATAGCATGCAGTTCTCGATAAATAGCAATCAAGTAAATAGATTGGGTCGATTCTCCAGTCGACATCGACTTCTAATCAATAGAAAATAATTAAAACCTTTTTTGGAATCTCGTAGCCAATTTTCTAAAGATCTCTTAAAGATCTTTTTATGTAAATTTTACCCGTTTGTCCCTGAGGAGGGATAAAGGGGAATATATTTAGTAGAGAGCAACTATAATTCGTCAACTCAATCATCATTATTATTATTATCAATTATCACAATCATCAATATAAAAAATTATTATAAAATTAATCCATTATCATCATTATCAATTACCAATTATTAATTGTCAATTATCAACTATCAGATAATTATATTATCGATTATTATATAATCGATTATTATATAATCGATTATCAATCAAATTAATCAGAATCGTCAATTATAAGGAAATCAGAAGCACGCCGCAGAAGCAAATAATTATCACTACTTTCATCGTCATCATCAAAGATATCAATATTTTATATCCAGTCACATGGTCCCTCAGGAACCGATTAAAAAGTCGATCAAGCGCATTCTCGCGTAGCCGCGCAACGCAAACGCGAAATACAAAAACAAAGTACAAGCGAAATACAAAAACAAAGTACAAGCGAAATACAATATAAAGTTACAATTGTGTTATCGGAGTGGATGTTCAAACAAGAGAACAATTCGCCTTTCCGACGCGTTCTACCTCAATTAAATCCATTATCCGATCACATAGAGAGATCCGGAGTATGCGCCATGGACTGCCTCCTCTTCCTCCTCCTTCTCTCGAGACGATCCGTCCAGAGAATTCCACACAGGACTTTCGCGATCGCAGAAGGAAAGGAGTTGCCGGCAGTCCGTCCGTTCCATTTTAGTGGCTTCCAATATCGCCGTTCTAGCTACCGACGCAATCGTCGATCGAGCCCGCAGGGTCATCCAGAACGGTTGGGCAAGATCGGCGCATCTATCGCAAGCGGGAGACGAGTCTCCAGCCAAGGTATAGAGCTACCGTTGCCCAAAGGGTCTCTCGCAGCGGCGTCGGAATCAACAGCGATAACAGACTGTCGGTGGACGACGAGTTGCTGTTGCGACCGTTGGACAAACCTGGACCGATCATCGGTAGTGGCGATTTCTCGATCTCGGACTGCAACAATAAGTAAACAACATCGTTCAGTATTGCTCGGTATCCTTGTTCGATTTTAACAGAGTGAAACATTGCTTAAATTCAATATTCGGTGTATTGCTATTGATCTGTTAATCTCAAAAATAATGTAAGATATTATTATGAAATGCGAGCATATAGAAAATATGCAGATAGAAAAGATGTGTCTAAATTGCATACTGACATACACGAAACACGTAAGAAAAATAAAATAGATTAAGCAACGATATTTGCGACAGTTAGGTCGCAATGCCGTTAAATGTCTCTGTGAAAATGGATATCCAAACGGTAAACGAACGTAACAAGATTCCAATACTCTCGCGAAGATTTGGCGAAAACGACTTGTCGTAAGTTTCTCCTCGTTGTAGTAGATCCGGGGAGTTGGAGAATGGTACAGGAAGGAACAACGGTCGACGCGCGGGGTTAAGGTTCCTAATTGGGAATGTCCTAATTGGACGGAATTACCGACAATCCGGCACTCTTCTGCGGCTTAGCCTTCGGTGGAAAAAAAAGGAGGAAAATGCGACGCGGTCGTTTTATCGAGTCCCCTTATCCCGACGAATTTACACGGAGAAACGACGATGGCGTTGCAAGAGGGGAAATATCGCGTCGCTAAAATCTCCAACGTCTACCCCCCGGGCTCCCTGTTTTCTTTACGAAAACCGTTTCTCGCGCTCAGACCACTCGCGACTCGGAAAAAAAGGTTCAATTAAAGCCTGCTTATTAATGACACTAATTACCCAATTAACTTCTATTTCGTTGCGCCGAGTGATGCCTGCAGCTACTGGTTTTGGTGAAGCCGCCGCATGGGATTTCGTGCCGAGAATCATACAAATCGCTCACGCGCAAAAAGGAATTCCGTTAGGACGTACTTATGAACGATACTTATTACCCAATTAGCTCGCGGTACCTTCGGATAAGGCCGGTATAATGATTCCGCGTATTAGCCGGACCGCGAGGATTCTGCGTTGAAAAAAGAAGACACGCGAAGTCCTCCACGCGAGACGCTTGTGCAAATTTCTTGCAACTTCGTTCGCGACAGCTGTACAAATTTTTTTTTTTTATATGGAAAGTTTATAATCTTCTTTTATCGTCGATTTGATTTTTGAGACGTGCTAAGCAATTTGATACAAGTTAACGTGTAAATTTATCCTGAAATAGATATATTTTTTATAAAATACATAATTAATTTTATCCAGAATAAAATATAATACAAGGAACGCAATAAAAAATCCATTACATTGACCTAGCCAAAGTCCGAGAAAATTATCGCAGATCTTGACGGCACGTTCTTGTAATATCTCGCGTGAAAGAACGATCTCCTGCCACAGGACGATTAACTCCGAAGGGTTCCCTTTGTTTCTCCATTCCGCCCGCCTCCCGTCGACGTTATCTCAGCTTCGACCCGCGACTTCCGATTCCCGTCTCGTCTTAATCCACTCGCCATGACCGGACGTGCAATAATAAACGCCCGGGGAAAGCCCAATCGCCGAGGCGGCGGGCTTTTATGGGATGACCATAATATCTGGGCGACGTCGCCGGTTTGACCCCACGAAGGAAGAAGAGAGAGAAAGAGAAAAAGAGAGGGCGTAAGAGAATACATGTTCTCTTACACCCTCGCAATCACGCACGGGAAAAACATTCGATTCGTCGTTGGCGCGTATAAGCGCGAGAGGAAAGATTATCTCGGATGTGGATAGGGCGGAAAGTAAGAGGAGTAGACGAGAACGTCACATTAAAGAAGAATTATGTGGGAGGGCGCGAGAGTGCTGCTTGTGGGAGCGTTCTGCTCGTCAATTAATAGTGTCCCTTCCTCGCCGCGGAATCGCGCGTTGACGACTGACACTGGGGTGAGCCGCCGCGAAGGGTGAAGGGACGTGATCAACGTTCGTTAATGTCTAATGCGTATAGGATCCCCGATCGGCCACCTGCGACAGTAACCGAGACCACGAGATGGACTTTCTCTCTCCGCGTCGACGCGTTGTTAGTCTCCGCGTGTATAAAGCCACAGAGATATCGCCGTGATGCCGTTTTATAGTCCCGCAGTCCGGAAGAGAACGCTCGTTCGAGAAATACATTTCTCTTTGTACATGTCATTTATAAATAGAAAAACTTTATGTCAAAACTATTTTGTAGAAAGCAAAATATGAGAAGTGTCTCTTATCCATAAGATTACACCCACACAAAATGTTTCTATAAATTCATGTTTTAGAATAAAATTTTTTTAATACAACACGTTCGATAAATAGCAGAGATACATGTAAATTAAAACACTCATTGTTGGTACGTTTACACAAAGAAAAATGCATCGTCACGATACGTGAGTCAATCCTCCGGATTCGAAAAAAAAAAGAAGAAAACGAGGTCGACTATCAATGGCAGTAAAAACACTTTATACAAAAGAAAAACATTGCGATCAAATATAAAAATGCATGAATACAGATTAGAAAGCAAATTGCAGAAAAGACGCAACACACTCCACTTTATGACGAATGAATCGTAAAATGTAAATTTCCCCGTGATTGCCCCGTGACTGCCAACCGCAACCAATTCTTCAATACGCATCACGAAAGGAAAATCAATATATTGTATTTCCGCGCTTAGGTACGTGCACGAGCTATCAATACGTTTGCTACACCGGTAAAGCAATATGAAAAACGATAGACAATTGGAGAATGAAGTAAGGACTCGAGCACGCTTGCCTCTCGGCTTATACATCGCGCAATCCCCGAAATAAATCAATTTACGAGCGGTGGGATAATCGCCGCGCCTACGAGTCAAGCGTAACGCTCGCGGCGATTTATCGCGAATTATCGATCGTCCAGAAAAAAATATCGGCAATTACGCACGAGCGGCTTTCGCGAGAGTGCGCGATGCGAGCGATTAAACCGGCTCCTCTCGCTCTTTCTTCCTCCATCTTCGTTCCACCGTTGTCGGAGTCCCGCCGCGGCGTGACAGAGAGGCTTTACGATCGCGAGCGCGCGCCACGCGCGACTATACTGGCAAGATAGATTATTGTGCAACGTAATTGCGCGGTTTGCTGTGGAAACGGCCAATCGCCCGGCTCTAAGGTTTCGCCGCGAAGACTAAGTAAGAAAAAGCCAATGGAAAACAGAAGTTGCGGTCGGCACGCTCGTTCGATACGTGCAATGCGTTCTCCGCGGCCACCGTCGTTAAAACGAGCTGCGTCTATCACGAGACGATGGTCGGCGGTAGCAAAAGTGCCGTCGCGAAAACAAGACGTTGGATGCACGCGGAAACGTGATTGTTCGGGCGATCTTATTTCTTGAAGGATTAATCTCGTTTTCAAAAACAAATAAACAGGTAATCAGATAAACAATTTCTCATTATCACTCTTAATACTGTTGCTTATGGTAATGACTAATAATTAAACGTCGATCACCACTAATTATTATGGCCATACTTCCATACATGATAACTAGCTGCAGCCAGTTACCGTCATATTCCAGAAATTACCACGACTTTCACTATTTTTCACGAGGCGGTCGCTTATCAGGCAGATTATTATTATTATTATTGCTACAGGTGTCTCGTTAGAGAGATGCATGGAGTATTATATAAATTATCGGTGTCCCCGACGGGCGAAATCGCACAGGCGCGGTGCGATAATAATTTTCCCGTTTCCAATAAAGCGAGGCGAGCGGGAATTTCCGTGAGTGCTGCGCGTGACAACGCGTTATAAATTTGCGCGCAGGTTACGCGCAGTAGCGCGGCCGCGTTCCGCGAGAGGATAGAGCGGGAGCGTGGAGCGTGGAGTCGCGGGTATCTACCGACGAAGGTGAAAATAAGACGTAAACGAGAGTTAAGCGGTTCGCGTGCGGCGAGCGTAGACTACGGTCCGAAGAACTATCGACTTTCTTGCATCGGGACTCCCCCTCTTTTAGCGGCGGTTCGACGCGGCTTGCCCTCGGCTTGCGCCATCGTAAAAAGATCCGTTATCTCGCCGCGTGATGAGGGTATACTAATGTATCAATTTGCGCGTCGGTCAGATCGTTTAAACGACTACAGATAAATGTCAGGCGAGCGCGCGTTTCGCCACGAGATTGTGACGGACGCGCACCTTATTTCGCGAAATGTATGCTACTTGCCGAGCGCGCGGAAACAAATCAGGTCGAGTAGTCGTTTAAAAGCTTCCGAGTTAGAGACAAGCAAGAATTCGGCTTGTTCGCGAGTCGCGAGTAATGAGTTTCGCGGAGCGGGAGTACACGAATGCAGTACATCGGCATGCCCTCGCGGGAAATTGCTTGACTTCAATTTTCCAAGCGATACACGAGAAGTCAGCTATTTCGCTGTTTCTGACACGTTGAAGTACTATATCCCGCGTTTTACGAGCGCGGCCACTCACCCATAATCCTGTATTACATAGAAACGCAAGTTACCAGGTGTATAACCCTCTCTATCCGGAGGTCAACGAAAACACGGCGAGAACGCGTATGGCTATTCGATTACCGAGCAGGTATAAAAGTGACGATCGGCCGAAAGGCTAATCGAAAGAGCGAGATAGACGAAACGCGCGAGATAGGAGCGAACAAGCGGGCGGGGGGGAGAGCTCCGATTGCATGAGATAATTGAAGATAATTTTCTCGGCCCGTGGCCACGGCTCGTGCTGCCATGCCCACTTAACTTTCACGTAAGGGGATGTGGCCACTTAGCCGCTACATGCTCGCTTACTCTCCATGCATATGTAAAGCACCGTGCCGTCGCTGGTTTTCCGTGACCATCAGGTACAGAGGGGCAGACGAGAGGGAGACGAGAAGATCGTTTCCGTGACTTGTGTATTTCCGGAAATCCGCGGAAAGTTCGCGTTCAGACGCGTTGGAAAAGTCGCGATTCGATGACGAGCACTTTGAGAACTACGCTGCCACATACTTACAATTTATTAATTATTAATATTTATTATTATAATTACGAATACCTGACAAGAGACTCGACAAATTTATTCAAGAGTGACCTGCTTCAGTGCTAAATAATTTTTCGCCAAAAATAACATACTTTTATTGAGCATTTTATTGAGTGAGGAAACAATTAAATTTTTATATAAAAATTTTTTTAAGACAATAGAGGGATGTCGTTAGCTATAATGAGATCGACCATCCTCTGATCGACGCGATTGCCAGCGTTGTATTAATCTGACATTTCAATTTCTTCGAGCGCGCGAAGAAGATAAAAGCGTGAAGACGACCCTGTCGGCTCCGGGAGATCCTCCGCGATTCGTATTATCAACAAGACGCTCCTCGAGTTACCGAGCCGAGGAACTGATCGGTATCCGATCTCCTATGGGCAGGCGAGACGAAGAGATTTCTTCAATTTCACGGGTCTGTTCGTCCCCCTTCAATTACCGGCACTTAACCAGTAATAATTAGACGTTCCGGGATTGGGTATCACGCCGGCGGACCTTTAAAGTGGATAAAAGCGAGGCGGAATAAAAGAGAAATGGTTCTTTCCACCTTGTACATCCTACGATTCTTCCCCCGTCTACTTTCTCTTCTTCTTACTTTTCCTATTACTGTCTCATCCTGCTATTCCTGCTGCCATTCACTTTCTTTCAATCCGCAACCGCAAATAAGAGTCGTCGTAAAACTGAGGGGAATTTTCTCGTTCATCGATACATATTTGATCGAACGACCCTCCATAGTCTTTTCAATGATGAAGAAGTGGATAGCTCTCGTAACTGCCGCGACAGTAATCAGAAACTTCCCGCCATTAATTATGCCCATTTATTCTCTCGTGTATCGCAGAGAGCCAACTGAATCAACTCGGCATAATATTGACGTTACGCAATACGTTTGTCTCAATTAATAATAGACAACAGGAAATTGCATTCATAATCGAATAGAACGTTTAAAATTCAAATATTCAAGAAAGAAGGATTGCCGTCTCTCTAATGAGTTTCCCATCTTTAGGAAAAGAGAGATATATTTATAATTAATCTGTGACGTGGATGTGATATTTATTTCTTTTTAGCAAAGAATCTAGGAATAATCTCGTGTATATATAAATTGTCAATCCATCAAAGTAATATCACAGACACGTTTCATTACTGTGTTAATCGAAGTGATGCGAAGGTGATTACATCGCACACGTTTCTATATACGTTCGTAATATATATCTCCGATCCGCAGTTCTCTATTTATTCGCCAGCCAATTCCCAATCGTCACTTTCTTTCTTCCGACCGTGAACAAGCGAGGAATCGTCGTAAAATATCAGAGAAGGACCACACCAGTCAGCGATACATATTTGATCAAACGACCACTATGAGGAGGAAGGGGATGGGTGGAGTTTTGATGAAGTGCCAGTGGCACCCGGGCCGTACACACGGGGGGCAATACTAGATGTCTCGACGGTGGTGAGCTGATATTTATTGCACCCGCGGGACATCGCCGGTACCCTGATATAACTAAATTCGCGTTTATGACCCCGCCCACGCAACGACGAATAGTTTCTATCTTTCTTAAGGAAGAAACACACCTCTAACCGCGAATCCATCGTAGCCAGGCGCCTAGAAGTTCTACGGTGGAATGGGAAGTATTGAATCATTCGTGGCGCTATTAAATCCTGGATATCGAAAGAGGAATCTGGATAGTGGTCTATCCCCGGCCAAAATCGATACTCGCGTTAATGGTCATCGAGGTGAATAGATACGGGTCAGATGAGATAGATATAGAAATTCCGCGAAAGATTCAAATAATAAGATATGCGGATGGATAAGGGAAACGCCAATTTAATTATGTTGAATTAAAGTATTTTTTGGACTTGTTATGCATTAAACAAATTTAAATTTGCAGAATATATCTATAATGCGTGCAAAAATAAAGAACACGTATGCATTTATAAAACTCGTAATATAATCTGTAAATTAAACAATAGGAATTTAGAGGTTTCAGAGGGGCAAGCGAAATTTCAAACTAAACACCCGTCGGAGGACTTTTCGTCGCGTATTCGTTACATTTTATAATACTCGTGACACAAGGGTAACTTTATGACAAATAAAAGCCTTCATGGGGAAGATGAAATTGCGATGCGCGGAGTGAAAAGTTACACGATGGCCCCCGTGCATGCAAAATGCGTGCCGTACAATTTTTACGCGTGGCGTTTTACACCTGTACTCCTCTCACCATAAACGCTTCTGTATTACGCCATCAGCGGTAGCACTGACAGCGCGAAGAAAAAAAACGACAATATCAGCGTGTTTGAAACGATGCTGATAACCCGATCCGAAAGTAAAATTTAATCTCATAAATTATAAATGCGCATGAAACTCTATACAAATATTTATAGGTGCTATTTACAATATTTCAATTGTTCTCGATACGATGTATTAATATGATTGAATTACGGGGGAGAAATGCAAATTGCGGATCTCAATATGGGAAAGAACGCGAAAGCGTCATTCCATATTGAGATCCGCAATCTGCATTCCTCCCCCGTTACTCGATCGAATCGGAATTACGGATCTCAATGCGAAGTAACGATGCATGACTGGCGTGTAACACTGACCTTGGTCCTGCACGCGTGGAAATCACCGGCGATGTTCCTGAGATTGGCACCCACGCTCGTCCACGACTGCCTCTCGTTGACAATCAAGCCGAAGTGGCAGCGGCAGGTAGTACCGTTGCAGTTGCTCACCTCGATCGGGCCCGTCTCCATGACGGAGCTCTCCGAGGCGAAGCGTCTTCGCGGCCGTGGCCTTGGGCTCGGCAACGGTGCACCGCTGCTGCTGACACTGTTACACTCAGGAAACTGAAATGTTGCGTCTCTCATCGGGCTGCTGGGGACAGAAACTGTCACCTGGGGCGACGGCGGTGGCAGCTGATCCACGGCCGATTGCACCAGGTCCGGCAGTGGCAAGCTCGACAAGTCTTCGACGTTGCCGGGCTGCAGCCAGATCACCAGAGGTTGCTGGGATCCGGAACCACCGGATCGACGCGGCGCCCGATCTATGGAACAAAGAAGGAAAATCTTCTTTCAAGACTCTACAAGTCTTACAAATCTACAAATCTTTGTCTACAAAGATTTTTATTTTTTTTAAGTATACGAAAACGATCACGAAAGAAATTGCTACATCGACGTAGACGAGAGTCTACGAGTCGAGAAGAAATAATGATTGGATTGATCGGTTCGCATGACATAATTAAGATTCTTTCATCGCGGATGCATTTAACAGGCAACGGCGTCACATGATACTTGAATTAATGATGACCGTGGTTTTACAGCTACCGTACGCCAACGAACGGTAATAACCCTCGCGCTCGTATCGCCACGCTTCATAACGACAATTGATTACACGCAAATTATGTTACACAATGGCAACTCGCCAGTGACCGAAGTGCGTTAAGACGGTTACTTCGCATATAAGGTTTAATGCCACTAAGTGCATGCTGCAAGGTAACGCAGTCCGAATATGGCAGGAGCGACATTGTTGGGTAATGATCGCTTTAAAATTTATAACGGGTGATCCGACAGCCTTCTCCTTGCAGTTTCGACATTTGTGGACATTACGAAAGAATATTCCTGCGCACGTGCAACTTTTATCTGGATATCGTAAGAAATGTTTATGACATTCGTTAGCTCCAATTTCTCGGATAGGCAATCAGAAGTATTTTTACGCGAGATAAAGATATAAAAATATGTGTTCTAAATAAATATTTAGAACAGAAACCAATATCAGAATTATGTATATATCAGTGCTTACAGTTTCTTTGGCGCGAGGTGATCACGTCTGTTAAACTATTGCGCATCGCGTTGATCATACGATACAACGTCATCGACAATCGTATTGCTAGACGTCAGGCCTTGGAATCAACTGTTCTGAGTTCGACAAACATACGTTGATATCAACGCTTGGAAAACGTGTGTTATCACGCGCCATAGCAGACTGCCTGTCTCCTGTCTGGATATGTGTGTGTATGCGCGTTTTTATCTGCCGCGGCTACGATTTCGTAGAACAGTCCTTCAACGATAAAGTCTTAACGCGCTGTCTCCCGCTACCGAGTGACACACGCTTGCCGTTGCACTTATCTCGTCACTTATTTATCATCAAGATATATCTTCCTCTTCGCTATCGTGTCATCGACTAACAGTTTTATTAAGCGACCACGTCATGCCCTCTCTAGCTGAAAAATAAAAGAATCCTAATACTGTCTGATGCAACAAAGTTGATTATAAATAAGTATCGCTTCCTTCCACGATCGGCATCGGATATCAAAGCGCGCGAGCTGCTGATGTCATGTGCTTGCCCCTTACAGATAACCGAGCATCGAGAGGACACTTGTCCCGTGTTACGAAACGTAAATCGCGATATCATGCTCCTGCACTCCGCGGTTGCAACCTTGAAAGCGCATCGCGCGACTCCGACTGCGCGGTGAAAGCGGCGTCCCCGCGGAAAGGCGCTTACCGTGCCGTAAGGTTCCAGAAACATTTAAACATGACCACTTTTCATTTCGCACCGTGGACGCGTGCTTACGAGTCATGCGTGACAAAATAACAATTCTATCATGCCTCGCGGCTGTCATTGTCTCGGTTCTCCTCTTTCTCTCCCTCTATCTCTTTTTCTCGGACTCTCCGTCGTCTTCCCGCGCAAGCACACGTGGTTGCATCCTTGACATTTCGAGTAAACGTCCGTAATGGCTCGCGGCTCTTTCACTTGTGCAATAGCACACACATCGTCGTCATCGCCTACATTCGATTAAAGCCGCTCGCCGTCGCGAAATCTTCGTTCTGTACAGAGCAGCACGAGCAGCAGCAGTAGTCGCGACTGAAAAAGACAGAGAGAGAAAGAAAGAGGGAGAGAGATGTGGCCGACCGCTCGCGCGCTTTTCACCGCTTGCAAAATATATGCGTCGTAGAGATGCGGCATCGACGCCCCGTCGGCTTTCTACCTGCTTTTCCAGCCAAATGTCACTCGACGGAGCTCGCGTGAGAACACCCGCGCTAAACCTTTGCGGAGAGAGATTTATAATAACCGAACTCGATATTTATTATGCCGAACTCGCGATGTTGAAAGATTTATGTCTTTATATGTGCGATTTCATGTACGGTTTTATGGAGAAATTGGCAATAGTTATGTGTAGTTCAGAAAAAAGACATATATCTCTTTCGAAATTTGTTTCTACTTGATTTTATTGTAATATATACACGAACATTAAAAGCTATAAATCTGTTGAAAATAGCATGTAGATGTTATTTGAAATGTTGAAAACGCGGAAAGCAGCAAGCTGGGCGAGATATGTCGTATTTTCATGAAAGATGAATCATCGCCAGGAAAAAATAAAAGAGATTAATTATATATCATTAATTCTCTCATATTATTAATTGTAGAATAAAATTGGACTCTAAAATAATTGAATGACGCTCTCTACAAAGAAAAATTCACGGTAGATATAATAACGGGATAATATTATAATTATAGATCTTCATTTATATTTTAAAAACTATCTAGTTTTAGAATTTCAGGGAATATTACAAAGGTCTCGAGAGCAAATCGATTTTTGTTACACATTTCTGCTTGACTGTCAGTGTTGTCAAAGGAAAGCTCGACGAAGTATTCTCACTTTACGAAAAACACACAGTGATCTCGCGGTCGCGGTTTTCCTATTACCTTTGTTCAACGGCGTATACCGAAAAGCTCGTCGTAGCAAATCGCTGAAAAGGGTATAAAGTTCCAACGCGGCCCCGCGCGCGCACGACGCATGAAAGGCGAAGGTTGCCCTGCGAGCAAAAAGTGCATCGCGCACGTGGCCAACACCCGCATGCACTCTTCGTGGTCTCGTGTGTGCACTTCGGCGTGTATATCTGGATCGAGCTATGTGCACACTCAACAGTGGAGTGGGATAGAGACGTTGACCGACAAAGAGAAGAGTACAGAGAGTAGAAAGAGAGAAACGCGGTATATATGTGTTTGCGTGTGTATGTGTGTGGGTATATATATAGGAATAAGAACGAGAGAGAGAAAGAGAGAGAAATAAATAGAATAGGATGTGGAGGGAAAAGAGGAAAGATCAACAACGGGAGGAGGAGAGAGAGAGAGATGGAGAGTGCGCCGGTAGCATATGCGAGCACGTGAGTCACATGGAGCGCCCTTTGTACATAAGTGCAACGCAACTTGTTACAGTGTACGTATGTAACGGCGGGAGCCAGTCTCGACTGTGTGGGTGTACGCGCGCGCCAATGTTTCGCGGCTGTGTGAGCGCGAGCCGCAGTGAACGCTGAACCGCACAAAGAACCCCTCTCAAGGCCGCGTCGGAGCTGCACAGCGGCGCATACGCACGCGAATGCGTAAAATGCACCTCGGCCGCTGGCACCGTACTCCTCTCCGCGCGCTCACTCGCTCGCTGGTGCACTTTTTTTTTATCGCGTCATTCTTTTGCACGCTTTTCCGGAACAATGGAACTACGAGCGACAGATATACGCGGTAATTGTAGCTACGTCATTTCGCGCATTTATCGGAGATCGGCCGTGATTCTGCCGTTACAGGAAGGCGTCGATCGTGCGTTAATAAGCGTGTCTCGCGACGCCTTAGTTAATCGGTCAGATCAATGTTCTCTTAAACGCGACATTTATATATCATTCGAAGAATTCTCTTATGAATTTCCTTGTATTCGATAAATACATCGAGAATTAATCAAGTTTAATTTTATATACAGTGACTATAAGTTTCACTATTAGATCGTTAACGGAGAGACTAAAATAAGAGCTTTTTTAATAACTTATTCAGATAAGAACGAAGTCTGTGATACGATTTATCGCCGATGGAGAAGTAGTATGTAGTTTGACAACATTAAAAATTAACATTTTTTTTATAGAGACGACAGTTCACGTGCATGCACATCGCGCAAACGTTTCGAGCAAAAGTTCTGGATTTTTGCAATTTATCGCGAATTCAACTGCGGCAACGCAAATGTGTGTTCGGTTTCGAATTCTCCAAAGCGCGAGCACCACTCGAAAGGTTACATGTAACGATGCGCAACGTGGATCGATCGCGAAGCGAACAAAAAGGTCGGCCTGGCGGGCCCGCGGCGTATACGTACGCCGCCGCCGTTGCGTTTATAGCTGGGTTAATAAGAAGCGTCATTATCTATCGACGATTTTAGCACGCTGACAATATTACCATTATTGCGATACCGCGCAATCGAAATGCTAAAAAATACACGTGCCGCAATACCGTTGCGTCAACCGTGCGCGATTACGACGCGAGCGATATTAGGCACGCATTTTCTATAACTAATCGTCTTGCCCAACGCGATTGCACTCGAGATTAAATTATTCCGTCGATCACGATTGATGACCGTACAGTGTTCGATAATAAAATCGATATCGTGTCCAGAGATCGATTAAAACAAGTTGTGACTAAACATTAATTTGATTTAAGATTAATTATTTCTGAAGATTTTCAGAACGTATGACAAAAGAGAATTCTGTGATACAGTTATTACTTTATTTTGTTATTAAACCGTTCCATCGATTATTATCGAGACGACTATATGATAGGATTAAAATTTCAGCAGAAAAAACTACTGAACCCAAAATTACAACACTCGCTGCGGCCACGTTTCGGACGGTCCATAACTTCTTGCGCAGCAGGTACAATTTCGGCGTTGATCCAGCGCAACTGGATCACAATTATTAGTCGCCCTCGGTCACCGTCATTATTCCGCGAGTCTTCGGTAATAATCGGACGAGTTTCATAGCGGGCGAACGCGAGCGCGAAGCGGAAATCGATTCCTCGAAGAGCGATTCGCCGAAGAGGCAACGATCTGCGGCACAGCTCTCCGAACGCGCTGCAGGACACGTGCGGCCCAGAATGCGTTTCGTGAGTCGCGAAAATTAAATAAAGTACCCCTTCCTCCTGCCACCCCGCGCGCCCGTTGCACTCCCTCACAATTGTCTCGTTCTTTTATCGCCCGCTCGCCTCACGAGTTCCCCGTCACGGTTCTTCATC